CAGTGTCAGATCCCCACACGGCCATTTCTGGGACACAGCGGTGCATCAGCACTGGCATGCTGACCTCACCCTCAACGGCAGACAACTTCTTCAGCAGCTCGTGGCCCCCTTAGATTTTGTAGCTAGAAAAATCACGTTTCTTGTGAATACATACAGACCTGTTTCTTTTTGTTTAATCTTCATACATTTTCCTATCTAAGTGTCAGTGAAGAACTCCGGGAGAATAATGTAACCCTCTGACTTAGGAGAGCTGCTGGGATGCCCCGTTGGAACAGTCATTTCAGTTAGCTCCATCACTACACATCAACCATGTCTCATTCTAGAAGCTCCCTTTTCACTGCCGATAATGTTTTTTCTTTTTAAATCCATGCCTATAACTGCATTTGATAAGGTAATTTATTCATACCCACTAAGGCTTGGTTGCTAAATATAATGGGTTACAGTGATTGAACCATTTGCTTTTTGTGGTCCTCTTACGTTAGGCTGTTACGTACTGTTGTTAAGATGGACCTAATACCACGGCCCCCTATTAAGACAACACCACGCACCCCCGTTACCTGAAACCTGTGGGCACCCCTGGGAAGCATGGCAGCTTCTCTCACCCATTCCGCACCTGCCCATTTCCTTAGCATCGTCTTTTGAGTCTGTGGACCAGTTTGGTGGCTCTCAACACTGGTCACCCACTGGAATCATCAGTGGGGACAGAAAAACCAAAGGTGCAATGGTCTAGCTCTGAGGAGCTCCGGGAGGGGCCGGCTTGACCATGTGTAGGTGAGGACAGGAGTTGACCTGGGTTCTGAATTTTCTAGGAAACATGGCTACCCAAGGTTTCTAAGCTGTGGCATACAGCCGTCTCTGGAGAACAGGGAAGGAAGAGGAGCACTTTGCCAAGGTGGCCCTTGTTGTAATCTCCATAATGTATTTCTCTCTTGCTCCAATTTAGGGAAGATGAAAACAAATGTAAGAAGAGTATTGAAACCTACTCTTCCAGGAAGGAGGGTGGCCAGGGTGCATTCGCATTGTCCTATAGCAGTGGAACAAGGGGAAGAAACACAGTGGTCTGCAGCAGTGTCACGAAAGGACATTTGCCATCAAGCTGTAGGAGATGAGGGAGTGGGTTTGGGGGTGGCAGAGGCCCCTTGTGGTGTTCCTTAAAATGCTCTGCTCCAACCTAGCATCGCTGTGGCTGTGGACACTGAACAGAGGGGGAGCCGAGGTAGAGATTCCAGGGAGGAGAGGAGAGGGCAAGAGAGAGGACAGGAGAGGAGAGGAGAGGTAGAGTGAGAAGGAGAGGGCGAGACAGAGGACAGGAGAGGAGAGGGGAGGAAAGGGAGAAGAGAGGAGAGGAAGGGAAGAGGAGAAGAGAGGGGGAGGGGAGAGAGATGGAGAGAACGACAGGAGAGGGGATGTAGGGGAGAGGAGAGAGAGAGGAGAGGCAGAGAAGAGGGAGGAGAGGGAGATTAGGGAGACAGAGAGAGAATGATGAATCTAGTTCCACTTTTTGCCTCATCTGTAATTTGTAAAGATACTGCAATGAGTATCCACCATGTGCTCCATGTAACTTTCTGATCTGACTCCTTCTAAAATAGTAGAGTGCATTACATTGTATTATATCAACAGCTGGGTTCCCTGGCAGCGAGCAGTCACCTCTTAGCCTTTAATCCCAAAGGCGTAGGTTTTGTTTGTTTTGCTTTTAGACAGAGTCTCACTATGTAGCTCTGGCTGTCCTGGAATTCACTATAGAGATTCCCCTGCCGCTGCTTGTTGAGTGCTGGAAGTAAAGGCACACGCCACCGTGCCCAGTCAACAAGTGCACATTTCAAGACCTGTTTTTAAGGGTAGGCTAAGGTTCACTCCCCAAGCAACCCACAGATCTCCTTCCAGGACACAGTCCTACACAGAGGAGCCGTTGCCACTGGGAACACAGGCCAATGGCAGTTGCAGTTTCCAGGAGCAGAGCCCAATGGTGGGTGGAGGTGACAGCCACACACTTAGGGGTTCATGAGAGTTAGGACAAGGGGAGCTGTGGAGCCAGGAAGGTGGGAAGAGTCAACCCACCTCTCGCTCCCAGAAATGCAGGGCCCTCCCGCTGGTAATGATGAGAAGCAGCAGGGGACATAGGGTGCCTCCAGTTAATCCAAGAAAAAGGAGGTGCTCCTCCTGCAAAGGAGACTCCTCCCCAAGACACAGAAGAGGAAGAGCACTGCTCCAGGAGCATCAGATGGCCTCTATGGACTCCAGAAGATGGGAGGAATTCACAAAGAATGAGTGAAATCCAAGGTGGCAGCAGCAGTTCCTTCTGGGAAGAGTGGGGGGGGCTGAGACAAAGCTCTCTGGGGCGAGCGAGGAGTGAGAAGAAATGCAGGGGCATCACTGGGAGGAAGAAAATGGGGCACCAGGGAAGGGCGTCTAAGAGGGAGGCTGGGGATGGCTCAGTGGTGCAAATGCTCACTGAGCAAGTGTAAGAATCTGAGGGCAGGGGCTGGCTCAGCAGTCAAGAGCACTGACTGTTCTTCCAGAGGACCCGAGTTCAATTCCCAGCAACCACATGGTAGATCACAACTGTCTGTAACTCCAGTTCCAGGGGATCTGATACTTTCACACCAACACATAAAATTAAATTAAATTAAGTTAAAGAATCTGAGGGCAGGCTTCTAACAGCCATGTAATCCCAGGACTGGGGGACCCGAAGCTCCCTGACCAGCCAGCCTAGCCAGATCTGTGAGACACAGGTTCAATGAGAGATGCTGCCTCAAAAAAAAAAAAAAAAAACACGGTGGGGAGTAACTGAAGAATACCCTGGTGTGGACCTCCAGCCTCCACATGCAGGTGTGCAAACCCTACCCCCGTTAAAAAATTAATTCAGAGATTAGGTAGAATTTCACAAAAATTAATAGTGAAATAAAGACGAAGCATTTTAACTCCATTGGTATTTCTTGACATAAAAAGACTGAGAGAGCTAAAGAGGGCTGCTGTGTTCAAGCCTGTGGTACCAACAGGTCCAGGATATAATCCAATGACTTTATTGCAGTAAAAGGAGCAGGGAAAGGCCTTTGGGTATCCAGGCAACACAATCAGTTATTTTATGAAGAAAAGAAATTCAGATTGCCTTCAAAAGTCTAACAGGAACATGGAATAATATTTGTTACACCAGAGGGAAAAGTAAGCCAGCAAAAACAAATCTTTATTTCGGCATATGGTAGTTAAAAGCAAAAGGCTATTATAGGCCCAGAAGCTTAGAGAGCCTTGCTTTCATTTGGCTCTCCCCGAAGACTGTGCTAGAGAAACTGGTCCAGACAATCAAATTAATAAAAAGGACAATGAAGAAGGAAGGCTCTGGAAATTCTGCAGGTGAGATGCCAGGACATGAGGGAGCCATGGCTTTATTGGTCACCAGAAAGAGCAGGCACAGGGGCCCCACAAGGCGCAGTCCAGTCCGGAGCACACTTAGAAGCCGTGACCAGCCCTCCCCCAGTCCCAGACCCGCTGACCACATCTCCAGCTGGACCACCGAGATAAGGGTCTTCTATAGAAAGAAAGGCTCAGCCCTGGTGTTTGATAAGCCCTGAGGTCAACATCGGGGATATCATGCTTCTGGGGGGACTTGTGGTCTCCAGGATATGTATTAACTTACTCTCCCACATTCAAAGCGGGGTTGACAGCGAGTTATTTGGAAAGTCCTCTTGTCGCTGGTGTCTTTTGGTACTTTCCAAAGTGTCCTGCTCTGAATGCTTATTCATTGCTTCTATCTCAGAAGTTTCTAGAATTTCCCCTTATCCACGGATATATTTTCAATATTTACTTATGTGTTTAAATATTTAAATAATCCAATGTGAAGAGGTCATCACTTCCAAGGACTCGGTCTGTGTGATTCTAAAATCCTGGCGAAAGACAACAGGAGGTCGGACTTTGGAAACACCTCCCATCCCAAGGCAGGCCACCAGCCTGGAGGGCTCTGCTGAGCGTCCACCTATGGAGTGCTCACCTTAATTCCTCGTTCAGTCGTGTTCTTTATAGCTTGCTCTGCATCGGTGGTCACTGCTTCAAAGCAATTCACCAGGAACCTTCCTGTCCATGTCAAGACGACTGCAAGTGTTACCAGTGGCCACTTCCTCCCGCCGCCCTTCTGAGGCCAGCAGCCAGTCACCCCGAACCATCCAGGGGTCAGCTGGCTCCTGCTCCATCCCCGAGAGCCAGGGATCTCTGTGGTCTCCAGGCTTTTGAATAACTGCCTTGCCCACCGTTCCTCTTTGCCTGCTTTGTTTTCCTCCCGTGCGGGCGCTCTGCCCCCGTCTCCCGTCTTCTCAGACCTGCTGCCTCGTCCTCCCAGCTGTCCCTGGAGTGGACAGCTCGAGGCAGGTGCTGAGACGCCACCGGATGGATGGCTGGGATCCTGCACAATGTCCCATCCCACTGCCTCCCAGACTCGGATCTGACTCTCTCCCAGAGTCCTCCTCTCGGAACCCCACCATGCAGCCCCCTCCTCTGGCCACAAGCTCTCCAGGTCTTTCTCTGGCCAGAAGTCTTCTGTGCACACATCAGCCATACAAGTCTATATTCATTTTCAACACACAACGTCCTTTAACTGTTCTGTGCTTTAATTCAAGTACAGTCTTGTATGCCCATATATAATTATCTATAAGATCACTGGACACATGGAAGCTTAAGTGTCACACACACATCACACACCACACACCACACACACGCACGCACACACCCCTCATACACACACTCACCTACACACACTACACACACACACCACACACCACACACACACCCCTCATACACACACACCCCTCATACACACACACCCCTCATACACACACACCTTCACACACCACACACACACACACCACACACACCACACACACCACACACACCCCTCATACACACTCACCTACACACACCACACACACACACACACCACACACGCACGCACACACCCACCCCTCATACACACACTCACCTACACACACCACACACACACCACACATCACACACACATCACACCCCTCATACACACACACCTTCACACACCACACACACACCCCCCTCTCACATGCAGTATTCTGAAACCCACCTCCAAGGACAATGCATTAGTTTATAATAAGTTTATATCCCCAGAAGCCCTGAGTGTCACTGTCTCAGACTTACTAAGATAAAATGTTTTCAAACTTCTGCCTCAGCCAAGAGACAAGAGGGCCCCCATTGTTTTAAGTCCCATCTCTTCAGAGAGAAGCCAGCTTGCTTTTCCTCTGGTGTGAACCATCATCATTCTGTTCTTCAGTTATTAATCTGAGAGGTGTTCTTCCGTACTGAGAAAACGTCTTTTTGTGTCTAGCAAATAGATCCTAATCACTTCCTCCCAGCTTTGCTTCTCTCCCAGTCTGTCCAGAGTTTCCTTGACTTGAAGCTTCCACAATGCAAAAGTCACCCACTTGGACCACCTGCCCCGAGCCTGCAAGGAAGTGTCCCATCATCCTTCATTCACATGCAGAAGTGATCTGGCCCTTACTCTACTGTGAGACTTGTTAATACACAGCCTTCTCACCTCCCGTCCAGGGTTCATGATTCCCCGGAACACACAGCTCTAGGGTCCCCACACATCCAAAGACGCTCTCAACGCTTCCGCTGAAGTAGCTGCCTCTGAGCTGCGACCTGACACATCTTTCATGGAAACTCCCTTCCCATCTGTACGTCTGCCACCTGCCAAAGTTGGTCAGTAACCTAGATACCCTCCTGTAACCCCGCCGGCCCTCCTCAATGTTTCTGATCCGGTTGGGTTGAAGGCCCGGGGTGTATGCCACAAATGTTTATTCACCGTATGTGGGCTTAGTGACCCTGTCAGCCTGACAGAATCTAGAGCAGCCTGGAATATAGACTTGTGGGAGTTTTGATGACATCAGTTGGTGCAGGAATTCCCATCATAACTGTAGGCGGGATCTAGATTTAATAATCCGGGAAAGCAAGCTAAGCACAGGCCTGTAACATCCTCTGTTCTCTGTTTTTAGTTAGGGATGCCGTGTGGTCAGTTCATCCCAACTCCTGCCATACGACTTCCTTGCTTGGGTGGGCCACGACTGGGGCTGCTAGCCAAAAGCAGACAGCTTCTCTCTGAGGTTTCTTTTCTCAGAGCATATTACATTGCAGCGACATCGGGAGTAGCTACACAGCCTTTTATGAAGTCTGCCTTGATTTTAATTATCACAGCTTGCAAATCGCATTGCATGCAATGTTACCTCTACACCTTGGCCCAGCTGTGCTGACGGTGTGCAGGCGTTGCTGAGTTTCTAAGCAGAACAGCATGTCTGAAATAGGACAGTTCGATACTTGCCCAAGTATCCCCTTCTCCAGGGGGTGGAGCAACTGAGGAAAACACCAACTTGAAATAGAGACAGGCAGAATCACTTCCCCTCTTAGGACTCTTGGAATAAAAAACACATCTTCCGAGTGCCTCTTCTAAGGAACAGAAAGCCATGGTAGAAATACACAAGACAACACCCCCCATACCCTCATAGGCATCTACTTTCTGATTTCAATTAGAGCAGGTGGACGGATGAATGTGACTGTCTGGGCACTGTTGTGGGTCACACATGTGAGAGAAAGCAGAGTCTGACCACAGAGATGAAGTGACCAGAGATCCCAACTCCTAGTCCCGAGGTGTGTTGCTGCAGGCTGGTGCGGTTCCTCGTTAGGAAATACTCTGCTGGGTTTATGAGGGAGTGTATCAGAGAGGGGCCACTGACAGGTGAGGAATGTGCAGGAGAAAGGCCACGCCCACACAGGGAGCAAGGAGCAACATGGGGCAGGTCTGGCCAGGCACGGGGCAGTCTTCTCCCTGAATTAAGACAAAGCACGTGGGTGGGGATGTTTCCCTGCACCGCTTCTGTCTGATGGCTTCCTAAGCGTCCTGCAGTCTGGGGTTGCGTCAGGTGTACTCTGTGTTAGAGGCAGCTGTCATGATATTGCAGGAGTGGATGGTGTTGTTGTGGCCCATCAGAAGGCCCCTCGTCCTTTTAGGTGAGAAAAGAGCAGAACCACACGACAAGATGTCTTGCAAAAACAATGTGAACTGTCTTAGGGTCTGAAACAGGGAAAGTTCAGTCACTTCCCCTTGGTCCGGATCCACAGCAGCAAAGGACACATGCCCAGGGACTTTCTGTGGCCCATGGTGTTATCCAGTACCCACAACACAGAGACTTTGGAGACATGGCTGCTCTTTCCTTGTGCAGTGACAGATGTGGGGAGTGATGCTGGGTTCCAAGCCTGGGTTCCTAGCGGTGGTGCCATATACCTTTGATCTGCCTGCTTACCTCTAGGGGTCATTTGCTGCTGGCCATTTCTCTTATTTTCTAATCAGAGATCAATGTCCTGTGTCTCATGACAGGGCCAGTGCCTCAGGCACAGCTGCCCGTGGACAATTATGACTGACAACTCCTTCAAGCCATGGTCTACTGAGAACTAACCCGCATGGCTACTGTAGGCATCACAAAATCATAGCTCAACACTACAACATAAATATTGTGATTGCAAATACTTAGATTCGTCTTATGACCATGAAGGAAGTGGCAGTGTGAGTGTATACACACTACTTTTAAGATTTTATGGTTTTTTTTTATGTATGCAAGCATGTGTGAACCGAGTCCAAGTGCCTACAGAAGCCCAAAGGTTGGATTCCCCTGGAACTTAAGTTAGAGGTGGTTGTGATCCACCCAGCTTGGGTACTGGGAACCAAACTGGGGTCAACTTCCTAACTGCCGAGATACCGCTCCAGTCCCCCATATGACACTCGATAATACTAAGGTGAAATTTAAGCCCAGAGGCTCCTCATGCTGAGAATATTCCAGTAGCTGTGTTCCAGTGACATTCAGGAAAGGGCCCTGCAGCACAAGGGAACATGGGGGTTGGAGTCATGCCAGGCAGGCTCTACCGGCCCCTCTCCCTGGCCAGCAGCATTTCTCAGGTTACACTGTTGGACAGTCAGAGTATCAATGTCAGGGCCCAAAGTCAGAAGGAACCCTGTTGGTAATAAAGTGGGAGACAGAAAGACGAAACAAAGCAAGAGCTAGACAACTGTTGAAGACCTGCATACCCAACAGAAAGGTCTGGGGCCCAAGGGGGGTTGGCTGTAGCTGTGCTGTTCCCTTAGTTCTAACAGTTCTCCCCGTGTGGAGGACAGCGACACCAGCAATAGTTGGGCAGGGGACCGCTAAGCCTCAGGGATGCTGTCACTTAAACTGGCTTGGTCTTCCAGAGAGCACCTTCCTCTCTCCCACTGGGACCTCTGTTCACTGCTGCAGCTCAGTTTCTGTGAGAACACCCCCTGACTGCAAGCCCTACTCCAAGAAGACACACATGACATGATAGTCACAAGCCCTACTCCGAGAAGACACACACGATGTGATTGCCACCGGCCTTTCCTTGAACCCTTTATTCTCGAGGAAGGAGATGGAATCCTCCACGTCAGAATTCTGTTTACTTAGCCCTCTTCAGAGGCATTTGGAGATGCAATGGGGGTGCACCTGTAATGCCAGAGCCAGGGTCAGGGCAACAAGAGGATCGGGGGTTCGAGGTTCTCTTTGGCTATCTACCGCCAAGGTGGAGTCCTGCCTTGTCTACATAAAACCTTGGCTCAAAAACTCCAAAACAACAGCAGCAGCATTTGAGGGGAACATACCCTTGTGGCTTGTTCTGAGGAGTGGGGATGCTGGGAGCTTTCCCCACACAAGCCCCAACCTTGGTTCCCGCCTCACAGGAAAAAGCGGATTCCCCACTTTTGGATCTCATTCCTATCCAGTTTTCCATATTCCCTTAAATGACTCTCTCCCTCATAAATATATTTTATAAAATGCTTCTGGCACCTTTGAGCTCTTGGCATTGGTGCTTTTTAAGTATCAGAAAAAAACCTGGCTTTTCCAGATTGATTTGCGTATCAGTCTATTATACCCTTGAAGATTATTAGAGGCTTGATAGTAACAAGTTTTATCTCCTGCTGCACACCTCAAAATCATATGACATACCGAAAGTTGACAGAGTATATTAATTTCTCTACACTAGAGTTAATCTAGTCAATGTATTAGTTTCTACTGTGATCTTATGACGTCAATAAAATGTTTTTGTTCGTATATATGCATCCAAAAACAAAAGGAATGTAGAATGTCCTAGCCACTGGAGACAGTTACGGTTGAAAATGTCTACTAGCAGGAAAGAAAGCTGGCCACATGTCAGTTTGAACTATTTTAGAATTTCTATCACATTGGTACCCAAGGGTGTAAAAGTGAGTGATCATCACAACTGGGCAGATGCAGGGATGAGTGAGTTCCTTCTCTATGTTTCTCTGAATTGGCAACTTGTCCTAGGTAGAGAGATATTTCTTTGTTTCTGGGAGGAACCATTCAAAAGCAAATGCAAAAGCACCCTCATGAGGTTCTTTCCTCCTCGTTCTTGACTCTCCAGAGCTCAGGAGCCCTGGGTATACAGAGGCCAGAAGATCCTTGTTCCTTTGGGGGTCGGTGCTGTCTCTGCCAAAAAGATGGACAGGGACGGCTCGCTCTTGCATAAGTCACTTGGTACTCCAGAGAATAAGGTGGGTGTTAGTGCTGGAAGACAGAACAAATCTTTAAGGGAAGGTTCACGGGCTGTGATGGGAAGACAGCCCACTGGGATTTCTCCATGGGACATTGGATCCCCTGGAGCTAGAGATAATGGGTGTTGTGACACCTTATGTGGGTGCTGGAACCAAACTCAGGTCCTCTAGAAGAGCAACAAGTGATCTTAACCACTGAGCTATCTCTCCAGCACAACATAAAAGAAAACCTATTTGTGTGGACATTGTGTGGTGTGTGCGAGGGAGGCAGGAGAGGGGTGAGAGAGAATGCAGGTGGACACGTGGCTTTAGAGCTCACCCTCTACCTTGTCTGAAGCAGGATCTCTTGTTGACTATCCAAGCTTAGCTGGCCTGCACTTTTCTGTGGCTTCTCCCATCTCTACCTTACGCATTACCATGTCTGGCTTTTATGTGGATATTTGGGGGTCTGAACTTATGCACTTACACTGGCACAGACAATGCTCTGCCTGCCGAGTCATTTCTCCAGCCTAGCCTACCTCAACGGGTAACGGAGAGCAGCTTGCCTCCTGGAACTAACTTTGCACAGTTGTAGGAGCAGAGCAAAAACAGGTTATGTTTGGGTGATGGGAGATTCCACAAAAGCTGTAACAGGAACTCACCTCCAGTAGCCGATGCTTTGCTCCACAGAACAAAGGGGCAGAGGGATTAGGGAGTGGCTCAGGGTAACGGAAGGTAACTCTGAGTGCATCGATCATGTCTTAATCTTTGCGTGGCTGAGTCCACTCTTGCCTCACTGGCACATGGCAAGCATCCTCTAAGAAGACACAGAAGTTGATCTCTCATTTTGTTGAATTTCTAACCTCAGAACCTTAGAGAGAAGACTTGGAAATGGCAAATGAAATGTTTTCTATGTGATCTTTTATTCTTAACTATGTTTTAAAATTAATGTATTAATCTTATATATGCAAAACACAAGTACCCCAGTTCAGTTCAAGGGGACAGGTTTTGAGATGGCTACAAACCAGGCAAGTTGGTCAAGAGTATTTCAGAGCAGTGGGCCACTAAAGGCTCCCCATTGGCCAGGAACTTCCTGGGAATGTTTCTGGAATACAAAGTCCTGTTAGACAGACTTCCACCTGCCTGGTTCTGGGGCTTACACAGTAGTCTGTGTACAGAGACTTGCTACAAGGATGAAATCATGACTACAATCCAGGCTGCGGCTGCCTGGATTTAGAACTAGGTGCGTGTCTGCAGGGCTTCCTGTTTTCATGCAGGAGAAGAGACAGTGTGTGAGTTCCCTGTCCCAGTGATGCTAAGGCTAGAGAGACAGAAGCAACAATATGAATGTCTTTGCACACTTATAATTAGCTTTGCAAGACTTCAGACCTTTGACCATATTTCTTTTTTAAAATATTGTCTGTTCATTCTTGTGGTGTGTGTGTGTATGTGTACACATGCAAGAGTGAAGGCATTCATGCACACACAATGCACACACATACACAGAGATGCATGCACATATGGAGAGAGAGAGAGACAGAGAGAGAGAGAGACAGACAGAGAGAGAGAGAGCTCACGTGGAAATCACAGGACATCTTTTGGTGGATTCTAGGATGGAGCCTGGGTCATTAGGAAGGCTTAGGGGGCAGTAGGCACAGGAAGCTGGGTTCCCTCCTGTGGAACTCTGCTTAGGGGGAACCTCTTTCTCTTTTTTTAGGCTGTTACCACTGACACTTGCCAGGCTCTCAGCCCACAAGATTAACTCCGGCTTTCATGATCTCATTTCCACCATTCCTGATCTCTGCAGGAAACCCATATAGTACCCGCTTGTCTCCACCTGCACTTCCAATGCTACTACACATGGGTAAGCTTGACAGGCAGGCTGAAGCCATGGGCCAGGAAGGCCCAGATGTAGCAAAGGCAACCTCGTGCTTATCCTCAGCCGGTCCATGGGGAAAATAAACACGGGAGGCTCTGACTGCAGGGAAGAGGGCATGGTGAATCTCATGGCCACTCTTCACCAGATCACTCTCAACTCCTCCTGCTTCTCAAGTTTATCATCTTTCTAGCCCTCGGTGGATGTCAGGCAACAAAACCACCTCTTCTGTAAATCTTCAGATTTATAAATGCTCCATAATGTCAAAACTGCTCCATAATTTGGGGGGAGGGAATGATAATGTTTTACTAGTTATCGAGTGGCTCAGGTTGTAAGACCCAGCATCCATAGCATGGCGCGTTCTTGTCACTGACTTTGAAAGTGGGTGGGAAGAATTTTGGTTAAGGGCTGGTGAGATGGCTCATGTCCACAAGCCCAGTGACTCAGGCTCCATCCTAGAGTCCACAGGAGAAGGAGATGGTAACCTCCCAAAAGATGGCCTGTGGTCTCCACGTGAATGCTGTGGGGTTTGTGCGTGTATATGTGTGTGTATGTATGTATATATATATATATATGTGTGTGTGTGTCTGTGTATATGTGTGTATATGTGTGCCTGTGTGTGTGTCTGTGTGTGCATGCATGCCTTCACTCTTGCATGTACACACACACACACACACATACACAAATAAATGAATGAACAAGCAAATAGTATCTTAGAAAAGAAATAATGGCTAAAGGCTTGAAGTCTTGCAAAGCTGATGAACACAGAGAAGTCTGAAAAATTGTTCTGAATGTTGATTAAACAGACATTAAATAGAGCCTCAGTGAGGGACAAGAGGGGCTTTTAAAGCACACATGGGTGTTTCTCCCCTCCTCTTCCCCACTGAAAGCCAAGGAAGGTAGAGGACTGTTTGCTCAGTAGAAGGTTTTGCTGTCAGCAGAGGTTTATGCAATGCCCATCCTCTCAGTGACTTCTCTTTCTGACTTACTGGAAATTAACATTTCCAGATAGATTTAGTGCAGTGTGTATGCGTGGGGGGGTGTTTAGAATCCAAAATGTTACAAAGAGTTTTCATAAATATTGTTACCTGATCTACGTACCACGCCTAGTTTTTTGTATTATTACAACATTGGAGAGGTAATTTTTTAAAACATGACATATACCCAGTATCCTATTAAGAAACCGACTCTGGAACCATCTGAAGTACACTGAGGTAGGCTTTGTCCACAGGAGTGACACACCCCTGATGATGATGGGGGAAAGTATAGGTTTATATTAAAGCCCAAAGAACATGGATTAAAAATGTCTCTTAGGTGGTTAGACACCAGAGTAGTTTCCATTACATCAACAAATAGGGAAACCAAGCCGTAGAAAGAAGTGCATGGCTTCCCATGGGTCTGTGTTAAAAATGGCAGAAAAACCAAAGCGAAGAGTACTAACTAAGTCGTGTTCTGTGTTAGTATTCGGGACTCTGTACTGGCCTGTCCGTGGGGTTCTGACAGGGTTTGCTCTCAGCTGCAGCCACTAAGAGCACAACCTGTGCCCACCTCCCATTCTCCTTCTCTCTCTCTCTCTCTCTCTCTCTCTCTCTCTCTCTCTCTCTCTCTCTCTCTCTCTCTCTCTCTGCCTCTCTCTCTCTGCCTCTCTCCTGATGCTCCTGTCCCTGGAGGCCGGTCTCCCCCCTCCCATTTCCCCTTTTTATGATCCCCTTCCTTAATAAGCAACCCCACTGCTTGGACCCTGTCACATGGCGTCTTTCTCTCACGCGCTACTTTTCTTAAATTACAACTCTGTCCTGGGGGTGAGAGGCTCCATTCAAAGAATGTGATGGCAGCTGCTGCTCTGGAGATTTTCAGGAGGGATGTCTGTGCTACTCCACCCCACAGTGGCTCTTCCTTTTCCCAGTGAGCGTCGCGGTGCTTCCTGGGTATTCGTTCAAACTGTCCCCTTTCTGCCTCAGCTGATGTGAGCACAGACAGCCTGGCGTTATCAGCGAGGAAGCTGTTTGAGAGACGGTATCTCTTCTACCTAGGTGTACAGACGGTGAAGTCTAGGATTGGCATTCATGGCTGGCCACACGCCACTTGGCTGAATTCGTTTCCGTAAGAAATCAAGAAAATCTCCTGGAGAGATAACAAGTGTTGACATCCCTGGTTGTCTGCTGGGAATATTTTTTAAATTCTACAAAATCCAGGGCCGGAGAGATGGTTCGGTGAGAATAGGCACTTGCCACCAGGCCTGATGACCTGAGTTTGATGTTTGGCATCAGAAGAAGGCTGACTTCTGCAAGCTGCCCTCTGACCTCCACATACATGAATGAAAGGACGAGTGAGGGAATGAATGAATGTATAAAGAAGATCTTACAAAGCCTCAGAGCCCAGCTTTGGGCTCTGCTGCATCAGGTGTTCACAGACTACTCCCCATTGGCTGATCCTGTTCAGGACCTCACTCCTTATCAATCAGACAGCAGATATAAAGGCAGTGCTGCTCTAACCCAAGCAGGCATTGGCTGGGGAACTAAGGCATCATGCTAGACTACGTCCACAGGAAATGACCAATTAACACACAGGGGATTGTTCAGGAAATCGAGAGCCCGGTGTTTCAGTGGGAAACTTCTACTCATCATGATGACCTAGTCTTGGTGGTGGGGAATCAGGAGGAGAGGTGGGGTGCGGGGGTATTTTATTTAACAACGCTGGGTAAAGCCCAGTGCAGCAGTTCACCCCTGTGATTCTAACACGAGGGTGGCTGAGACAGGAAGATTGTCACATGATCAAGGTCATTGGGAGCTACACAGCAAGACCCTGTCTCAAAACAACAGCAGGGAGAAGCTGCTGGGAGCAGGTGCTACCTGTTACGTGTTGTATTATGTGTTACACGCGTACCACATGGAAGTGATAACACTAGGATTTGCCTCCATTTTGTCAGATTGAATTTCCACAGCTGGGAGCTCCTAACAACGACTGTGTCACCCGCTGAAACTCCCCTTCTCCCACGGCACCTCCTCTTCCAGGGCATCACTGGGGATCTCCTCAGGGAGAAGATGCCCTGTGTCCCCATGACTCCCTTTACCGTCCAGTAGGACAACACTGTGTGTGGACCACAGAAGAGGTCCCTTCTTTCATGGATGCACAAGGTGAGTGACCACACCCCTCCTGGGAAAGAAACAGGAGGATCCTGATGGCATCCTGTGCTATCCTGTCTCATGAACAGACTGACATGGGGGCGTGGCTTGGGCGTGCATCCTGGCCTGGGGGAGTGGCTTGGGAGAGCATCCTGACCTGAGGGGCGTGGCTTGGGAGAGAGCCCTGATGGTGGTAATGCTAGAAAGATCTCTAAACAGAAGCTGGACCCTGTGAGTCTCCTGGCTTCCCTGTTGTCCTGTAGCATAAGGGAAACCGGGTGAAGAGAATTAGAGAACTCTCCAGACTATGTCTGCAGCCTTCTCGTAATCTGTGATTACAGTGGAATAAAATAAACTGGTCCCTGGAACGTTGATTTTAATTGGCCTCTCAAGGGCCACCTCCGCACCGCCGTGTAGAGGACCAGCGTGGGCCAAGCCGAGGGTGACCCGGGCTTCTTCACCTTCTTCATATTCATACCTGTGTGTGTCTGACACACCTTTTAAGATAGAATTAAAATAAAAAAACAGCTTACCTTGGAGGAGGAATTTCCAGCTTTCAGCTCGCAAACGGTGTACTTCTAGGTACTTTTCACACCGCACTGTCCCTCTAATGACCACAGATCTGGACAGCCGAGTCGTCGCTGCACGGTGGACGGCAGCAGCTGGGTATCTTCCTCCATGGGTTTGTTTGGATCCTCAGAGGAAATCTGGGTACTTTTCCCTTCAGGAGACCTAAGGGCGTAGAGAGAGTGAGTGTGTGTGTGTGTGTGTGTGTGTGTGTGTGTGTGTGTGTGTGTGCAGGGCGATGGAAAATCCCAGCTCCAGTCCTAGGAGTGACTTCCCAGATAGCCTCCTTCACAAGTGGTCTGCTTTGTTTACGGCAGTCACGTGCACTGTAAGATTTATGCCTGTGGCCCAGGACCCGCGGGTGCAGTTTTCCCCTCTGAGATATGCAAATCTGTCTTCAAAACAATGGAGCCGAATTAAAATATCTTGTGGGCTCAGAGTCGCTGCTTTCTTGACAATGCTAGCAGAGCCATTGTTACCTCTCCATTGTACCAGCCCTCCAGTGACTGTCATATCTGCTCCTTGAAAACCGAGCTCCCTCCCTCCTTAAGAGAAATTAAAGAACAATATTTTATAATTATCCAACACTGACTTCGAATGAACTGCATTTTAATTTTCCCAAGGAATTCGGGACCGTTATTAAGGTATGGAAAAGAGGAGGAAATGGCTAAGCCTGGCCTTTGAAGTCCTTTGAAATTTAATTGACCATCAGGCCACTGAGCTGTCTTGGCACATGACCATTTAATAATAGGCAGCTCAGCCTTGCATCAGGAAGAAAGGTGTAATTCATCAACGCTACACACCATTTACATGGCCATCCACCGAGATTTCTGGGGAAAACTGCAGAACACACACTTTTAAGTAATTTATGAGCCTCTGAGTGGCATTAAAGCAACTTCGTCCTGGTGGTAAGAAAAATGTTTGTGGACAAGTATGCTTAATACTTTTAAAAACTCGAGCCATGACTACACCTTGCCTACCGCCCAATTAATGGAGTCACCGGGGGTGGTATTTGTTTTTGTTTTTTTAATTAGGGACTCTGGTAAGTAGAGGAATACCTTAAAAGTGTCTAATTTAAATAAGAACACTGTTTTATATCCAAACAAAAACAATTTTCTGACGAATCTCACATTTGATTCACATGAGACTCAATTTAAACATACCAGTGAATTTTTGTACTTTAGCATAAAGAAATATAGTTACCATTTTTCCCCCAAAGTTTGATCTAAAAACAGTTCAGGCCCTGTGGCCTTAGGGTTTGTGGGAGGGGGACTCTGAACTGAGCCCTCCCCCTCTGAGTCCCCTAGAACTTCCGGGGAGTCCGCAGCTGGTGCTGATTTCCTTCTGATGACCTCTGCAGCTACTCAAGTCTAGACAGACTGTTTGATGCTGAAACATCATGGAGAATTATGATGTCCAATCTTCAAACAGGTCAGGACCGTTTCTCTAACATTGAAGTTCATAGACCTGCACACAGCGGAGTATCCTCCATCATTCTCCACCGTATGTCATATGTGTGATACACACATATACGTGCGCACATATCAAGACCTCTGCTATGTGAATGTGTGATGTAGTAGTCACCCCCCAAATTCCAAAAGCCTTAGCACGTGTGCATAATGGGACTGACACCTTCTGTGAGAATCTTAAGACACCATCACATGTTTGGTTCTGTGACAATTAAACACTTGAAATGGTAAACATACATTATAAGTTTACCTTTTTGATGGACGGAGAGATGAACTGCCACCCAAAAGGTCAGAGTTAGGAGATGTGAGCATGGTGAACTCGGATGACCGCTGCAATTCCTACATGCCCATATGCCCCCACCACAGGTCAGACCCCGCCTGAACAGCCTATAATGAGCTTCCTCCAGGCACGGCAAAGCATGACGCTGCACAAAGTCCTGCTCACCCAGCACGCGCACCATCAGATGAAAAGAACACGCCCTGCTCCATTTATTCCACGGGCACGCATTTACTCAGTTCCTTCCAGAGCTTGAGTGTGTGCAAGGAAATAACTTGCTATGTAGGTGAATCTGTTGGCTCATGATCTCCTTCTGGTCTGATTTGATACGAATTTCAGAATGTTCATAAAAGATAAGAAGTTAAAAAAAAAGGTAAGAAGTAGCGCCAAGAAGATGTTTCAGTGGGTCAGATGCTTATCATACAAGCCCGAGGACCTGAGTTCAGATCCCCAGCACCCGCATAAAAATCTGGGTGCAGCAGTCCAGGCCTAGAAGGTGGAGACAGAAAGACCCAGAGAGCTTATTTGCTAAATAGTTGCTGATGAGTGAGCTCTAGGTTCAGTGAGATGCACTGTCTCAAAAATAAATAATAATGCAGAAATATTAAGATACACAAAATAGGGATGTCCTATGATATTTTATTGAGAGAAATCAATTATGTGAGAAGCCAAGAACCAAAGGTCCACAGGTTGCTCTCCAGGCCGCAACTGGAACCCAGAGAGAGAGAGAGAGAGAGAGAGAGAGAGAGTCTCCTCCCCCTAGCTCTTTTTATACCCCAGTAGGTTCTACGTACCTGTGAGCACACCCACAAGGGTGTGGTCAGCGCTACGGGTACATAAGATCTCTCTCTACAAAATTAAAAACAAATAAGTGGAGGACAGTAGAGGAAGGTACTCATGACTTATTTCTGGAACATTTGTATATGTGCACACAGGAGCTCATGTACAAATACAGGCTCAAGAGTGTGTGTGTGTGTGTGTGTGTGTGTGTGTGTGCGCGCGCGCACAGCGTGCGTGCATGCGTGCGCGTGCATATGGCAGTGCACTTCTGGAGAAGCTGGCCTCAGGTAAGCAAAACAAAATGATGACTTTAAGTTGCCTTTGCTAGACACCGTGTTTTGGCCAAACTGTAGAAACAGCTATCATCTAGGAGCCTCCCAAGATAAGCAATGGTGGAGTCTGACTGTGAGCACAAACACGCAACAGGAAATTTCCCACTGGGCTCTTAGGCCCATCTGCACTGTCCATCAAGGTCTCTGGGAAAGCACTGTCAGTATGATACAGCATCGCAATATGAGTTCTCACATCTCTGATGAAGAATCTACTTGCAGTGATAAACACTGCACAACCATCCAGAAGGAGCTGTGCCTACACTGAACCATTCTGCCCAGGGACTCATAAATGCAGCCTGCCCATGCATCCAAGTCACCTTTTTATGCAGGTCTAAGCCAGGCAGGTGGCTGCACCTCGGGCAATCTGCTCCATCTGACCCCAGAGTTCAGGGTTGGCTGGGGCCATAACTGCCAGTGTCGGTCATTCAAATACATGCTTTTATCACTGTGTTCTCAAGTGGCATTCTGCCTGTAAGGAATGCATTTGCAAAGTTGTGTTTACAGTAATCCAAGGACAGAAAGGCACACTGCTGTGCCTGTTAGGATACCAGCAACTGAGAGTGACATCATCTTCAATGTATTCGTATGAAGCCTGTTATTACGGTGTCTCCCACGTGGAGTGGGGTTGAAGGAAGGGACTGATCCTAATATTTTAAGCCATATCCTTTACTCAGCTGAGTCTCTTCAAATAGTCTACAAGAGATGATAATTTCCCTGCAGAAACCCACTTACTCTGGCCACCAGTTCTGAGGCCCCTACCCCTTCTGTGCATCTCCAGGTGGGTCCTGTGGGATTCACAGCTCACGAGGTCACCTCTCATGAAGACAGTTGCCCCTCTGTATTCGCGAGCTCAGCCTCTGTGCATCCGATTCAAGTCAGATTGAAAACATTTGATGTTTCTCTTGTGTTTGGCAGAGGACATGGCTCTTGTTTCTGAGAACCGCAAGCAGGGCTCACTTATGGGTTGTGGACACATTGACGTGATTTTGCACTGAGAGCTTTGTAGTTAATGCAGAAATCTGTGGTGTACTAATAAGAACTATCCCTGTGCAAAGAATGTCTGTGGCTTGAGTCGGTGTGTGAGTGCACAGGCAATTGTAGTTTTGAAGAGTGTGACGTTATCTTCTGTGAACACTGCGATCTCACCCAGAGGAATCCAATGAGGTGGTTATTATGGCTTGTCCTCTTAGGTTTTTTTTTTTCCTTATGAGTTGCTTTTGGTACATGATTAAATATTGTTTTTATACGTACGCACATACTGGAGAAGAAATCTGCCTCCGTACGGAGTACACAGACACTTTCCTTTGTCATTGTTCCCTAAAGACACAGTATAGCCATCGTGCCTGGCGCTTGTATCATAACAAGTGTCGTCAGCAAATTACAGATAGTTGTTGGTATAATGTGCATAGGATGCACTCGGGCGCCCCTGTGCTTAGGTAGCTGCGGGGTCTGGAAGGGCCTTTATCCTGTTCCCTGTGGATCCTGAGGGCAGGCTTCTCAGTGCTCTCCCACTAGACCTGGGAGAGCAACGTCCACCAGTCTACCCCAGACACCTTCCTTATCCAGGCTCCTGAGGGCCCCTCTTCCAGTACCTGCCGACAGATGATGGGTCAAGGACCTTGGGCGGGACTCTGGCCACTTTTTGCAGGTCCAGCAGTTTTCCTGTTTGCAGGGTGGGCAGCTCTGCCCCTTGGCTTTGAAGGCTTAGTGAAGCTTGAGGCACTGGGAAGTCCAAGTTGACATTGCATAGCCAGTTTTGACTTATCCCACATGCTCTCAAGCAAAGGGGCCCTGGCATGCACACCGCCCTGCTGCTCACTCAGTCCTGAGGGTCTGCTTTTTAGGGAAGCTTGCTTTTCTCTTGGAAGGCCCTATAAGCGCCAGGTTTATTAATCGCACATCTCAACCCCTGCCATCCATTTTGGCATCCCCCAGGAATTCCCCTCTGCCCACACAGAGGCCCGAGCATTCTCTTGGCCTGCTCCTAGCAACTGATGCCCATGAGCTGTGGAGAAGCGAGTCCATGCAGGAGTGGGTGTATTGCCTTCTCCGAAGGAGCTCAGACTGGTGATTTTCCATGTGCGAGCTCATGGCCAGTTTTCACTCTCAGCAGAAATAAAGGCACTCCCCTCTTCCACAGAAAAGTGTGTGTCTGTCTCCATTGACACATCATGAAAGACGAGCTCTCTGCCATGGTGAGCCCAGAGCAAGAGCTTTGGAGAGAGGGAGTGAGACGCCCACCAGTCTGGGAACCGGAACACAGGAGAGATGTGGGTGTATGCTTGTGAACACACTTGCCTCTG